GACAGAAATCCTTTATCCGTGCAACAGTGGGGAAATGTATATTGTAACAGATGGACAGATAAAAGGCAAAATAATGATAGCCTATTTAATAAAGAGGCAAACACGCATAAAGTCAATCAGCTGTTAAAACTATGGATGTGAATCTAACGAGTCGATTGAGTACATCGTTCTGATTTAAGGATCTACTCTAGTCTACTCAGTGTTAATAAGGGGGTTTGGTAAATTAAGGCTAAAAAGCAGACTAAGAAATATTTTTAAAAAAAAAATATTAGTTTTTTGGCGAATTTGAGAAGGTAGAATTCTCGATATTTTGATAAAGCAATTGTTTTCTTCATCCCTATTGATCTAGAAGTTCAGGAAGAGGCAGTGAGGGTGATTTAAAATATCCATAGCTGCATTCGGAACACATTACATCTCATTAAAGGTGGGGTAGGTAATTCACTTCAGAAACACGTGTTATATTCCATGGAATGCTCTTAACTTCCCGATAGCAATGAATACATGAACTGCTTTGAGAATAAATACATTACAAAAAATGTCATCTGTGGAAGCCGTGGCGCTGTAAAAAGCACGACCAATCATCTGAGCCGGCCGGCCTAAAATAACCTGGATGTCTACCTGCCTGTCAGCCCTTCCATCTGGCACAAACCTATCCCCTGTGTGCCTTCGTGTGTGTTGGAGGAGGGGCTCTGTAAGGAAGTCTGAAGGAAGGGGCAGATTTTTTCCGGTTGTGTATTTTCAAATTCTAGCGCACTCGAGCTGGTTTCTCCATTCTTACCTACCCTACCTTTAAGCTGACACTCATCTAACAATAAAGGCACTAAACTGTGAAATCAACTCAGAAGGAAAGCCCAGAACCTGCAGCTACATTAGCTTCTAATAAGCCATAGCATTATAAGTGCATATCTCGCTGTCTGTTCCCGCCCTCACTGTATCCACCTCTCCTTCCTCCTCCTGCAGGGCTTCCTCAGACCAAACTGGGGAACTATCTGGAGACCCGAGTGAATGATTACATCAGGAAGCAGAACCTCCCCGAGTCCGGAGACGTCACCATCCGCGTGGTCCACGTGTCGGACAAAGTGACGGAGGTCAAGGCGGGCATGAAGTCCAGGTAGGAGCTCGCTTTTCACTGCTGGGTCGAAAATGGATCTTTGATTGGTCCATATGCGTCAATCATATTTTAAATGACAGCTTGTTGATAGACTTTCATATTGTCAGGATACTCAAACCTTAATTTAACAGACACATAGAAACACACGCTGAGACGACTTCCCGTTCCTAAAGCTTGGTTTTTGTGTTCTTAAATGTCCTGAATTGTTGCTGATGTGAAAGCTGGTCCAAGTTGGAAATAAACAACTAAGTGTTCATTTTAAACTTTTGTATATAATGTAGTTCAGAAGTAAATCATTGCATCAAAAGAGTGGCACCTCAGTGGCTTAAAGCTTGGTCTTAGCCTCTACAGTATATAGATATATGTGTAACAACAAGCTTTAATATCTATTGAAACATTTTAAAAAACAGATCTGTAGCTGTGTTTGAATTCTTGCAAAAATATCATGAATATGGGCTTCTCCAAGTTAGTTTCCCGTGGGTTCTGACCAGCAGGGGGCGCTAGATGCTGGACCGGTTTCCATGCAGCACTAACTCCATGCCAATGCAGAAACACATGCTTAAGGATGTTGTTACCAGGCAACAGCTGGTTGGCCATGGTACACAGCAGAGTGGATATTAGGCTGTAGCAAGAATTGAATTACTTTATTTGTCCTGTGGTGAAATTTGGCTTTATGACAGTTTATTCATTTTAGAATGAAATAAATGGGTACATTTATATAATTATTTGAAGTTAGAGTCAAATGTAATTTTAAACACATGATAGTCAAATGTGCACTATCAAAATATTTATTCAAACTTAAAAAGTTGAAGTAAAATGTTCAATAAAAGATGAATAAATACAAATATTGATATAAAAGTTTAAAATTCTCTGGTAATAATGTTGTGAAAGCATCAATGCTCCATAAAATGTTACATACCGAGGTATTTGATCAAAGTATTGCGATAATTGATTTTGTTCCAGCTCTGCTTTCAACACTAAAGCTCCATAGAGAAGTCTAATTATGCCTCGAGCATTAAAAACATTTTAGATATGATCTATGTTTGCACACCTCCCCCTTATTTGAGATGTTTTGAACATGGCAAAGAGTTTCTGATTCCATGTCCTGTATTTTCCTCACCCTGGCTTTCTTCGCCCCTACCTCCAGGTTTGTGGACAGCGGGGAGATGTGCGCCTCCTTCCCCTACAGGATGAAAGCCCTGTTTGCATTCGAGGATATCGACGGAGCAGACGTGTGTTTTTTCGGGATGCACGTCCAGGAGTACGGCTCCGACTGCCCGCCTCCCAACCAGAGGAGAGTTTACATCTCCTATCTGGACAGCGTTCACTTCTTCCAGCCGCGACTCATCAGAACAAATGTATACCACGAGATCCTGCTGGGATACCTGGAGTACGTCCGGAGGATCGGGTAAGAGAACAAACTAATTTGACTTTGTGTTTCTTGCATGCATATGAAATAAAAAGGAGATAAATTAACTTTTTTCTAATGAATACTGTTTGGAAAATAGTGAATGTCCTCTTCCAATATCAGAGTACACTTGATAACAAAGGTATCCCAACTGCAGCTGTGTACATGACAGGATGTATGATCACCTACAAGAGCATCAGGACTGAGATTTTTAGAAAAAGTCAGAATTTAGAGATTTTGAAAGTCAGAATTTGGAGATTTTGAGTAAAAGTCAGAATTTGGAGATTTTTTTGTAAAAAGTCTGGATCTGAAGATTTTGAGTAAAACGTCTTGATTTGGAGATTTTGAGAGTAAGAATTTTGAGTAAAAAGTCAGGATTTGGAGTAAAAAGTCAGAATTTTGAGATTGAGTAAAAAAGTCAGGATTTGGAGTAAAAAGTCAGGATTTTGAGAAAAAGTCAGGACTTTGAGAAAAAAAGTCAGGATTTTGAGTAAAAAGTCAGAATGTTGAGATTTTTTAGTAAAAAGTCAGGATTTTGAGAAAAAGTCAGGATTTTGAGATTTTGAGAAAAAAGTCAGGATTTTGAGAAGAAAAACAACATTTTGAGAAAAAAGTCAGTATTGGGTTCATGACAGGATGTATGATTACTTAGAAGAACCGGTATTCCTCCATCTTGAGACTGTGTAACTCCCTCTCTTGGATATCAGCATGTGAAGGACACTGTTCAGGAACTAGTTGATGCTCTGTATGTGATGACTACTTCCATTCTGGAGAGGATCACAGATACATGGATCCTGAGATTGAAGCTCAAGCCGGTGGACCCCGCCACCAAAACTTTACGAGGAGGGCTAAAGACTCTCAGAGTTCCAAAAAGTTCATACCTACGTACGCGTGTATTAATACATTACAGAGGGTCTGATAACCGTTGCGTTGGTAAGTTTAGATACAATAGAAATATTATTCCGGCACCTCCCGTACACCCCGACCGTCACCAGATCACGCAACCACAACCCTAGTCCGGCCCAGTCGTTCCAAGTTTGGGGTTGATCGTTCAGTCCGTTAACAGCAACACAAGGACTCTGTGAAGTGAGTTTAACCCGGAGCGACACCCGCTAACCGGGTCGTCATCGACTCACCATTTACGCACCGAAACCTATTTCACAGATTGTTCATTGTACTGTTGTACATTCGTATCCGTTTCTTCGTGCTCTTGGAGATCGACTCGTACTTAGGCTGACGTCGTACACGTAATTAGAAGACTCCCTTCGTAGGGACGACTCTGAACGAACACCCGATTTATGACATGTAAATATCGAGAGTTTATGCAAGTGAATGTTATTTATTATGCGCTGTATTATTATTTTTTATATGTAAACTAAATACTATTACACGTAAAAGGCGCACGTGAGCTTTCCGCGAAATGAAACCGGACAAGGTAATGAAGAGGGAGAAGTACAGTTTTAGGTACAAGACAGAAAGTATCGTATCTATGTCTTCAGCGTTTGTTCAAGACTTCAGAACCGCGTACAGTATTTGTCTGCGACGAAATTCTGTATTTGCTCCTTCAGAAATTACTAACTTTGCAGATATACCTGTAGTCAGACATCTTAATGACTCCGAAAAGAGATAAGTTTAACTTGTAACTAGATTTCAAGTTTTACCTGGGCTTAAAGAAAGAGTCTTATACCAAATTTTACGAAACTTGAAAGACTTGTTACTTTCGACTCACAGAGTGGAAACACAAATGCCGCAGTCGGAGTCGAACAGGAGTTAGAAGATTGTGAGGACGCGGCAAGACCCAAACCTAGACGTGCAGCCGCCGTCCTTAAATAGTGCCACCTAGGTTAGCCAGCGCACAGTTTGGACTGTCTTCTTCTGTACCGTAAACAGTCTATTTACA